GACGCTCCTCATCGTCTTCTTCACGGTGTGGGTTTTCGGTGGGGGCACCACGGCCATGCTGTCCTGTCTGAATATCCGGTGAGTGCGGCGTGCATGGGGCTCCCCTGGCACAGCACATCCACTCCCTCGTCCCACTCTTACGTTAAGGTGCTCAGTTTTAAGGGACAAGAGGAAGACCCCGTCCTTCCCCCTGAAGCACAGTCCTACCCACCTGGCATTGCTTGTCCTAACCCTGTGCTTGTTTTCTGCTCCGCAGGGTCGGTGTGGATGCGGATCAGGAGAACGTGGTGAGTGCAGCAGCGCCGGGCAGCCTCTGCAGAGGAATTTGCACTGTGCTCGGTGCGGGGGTTACGTCGGAGACGATGTCAATGCCCCTCTGTGCTCCGCTCCCTTCCAGCTGTGGGAGGGTTTTTAGCTCCTCTGGTGAAAGAGTTTGCAGTCAGTGGGAGTCATGGCCTTTCTGTGCTCTCTGTGGCTCTCACGAGGCTTGCTTTCATTCAGTTGGAAAGAAGGGCAAAGAAGAAACGCTGGACTGTTTAGTCAGTCCATGTTACTGCTGCAATAGATTCAGTCTCTCCCTTGCTGAGTTTGAAATAAATACCAAAATGTGCATGAAATGGAGGCTCTCTGCCTCATCCCAGTGTCCAGGGCAGTACAGAAACACCATTTACTGACCCATTTTATGTAGTATCTTCTGTCCCGCTTTTACCCATGGGTACCCTCGCCCTCTCCTTTGCCCCCATGTTTCCTGTGGGTAGTTACATGGCAGCCCAGGAACCACCAGCTGTGCTCAGATAAATGCTGGAGCCCTGTGGCATCGGGAGTTTTCCTGCCTGGTAGCCCCAAACTGCCTCATCTGTGCATCTGCAGCCCGGTCGTGCTGTGGGGTTTGCACCTTGGAGGTTCATTTTATTCAGAGCCATTTATTGGGCTGTTCACCTCCTGGAGATAAAGCGTCAAATGCTAAAGGCAGCCCAGAGCCATAAATCTGAAAGCCAAATTTCTGTGAAATATATAATTGTATTCATAGTCCCCTCCAAACAGTATTATATTTTTTCTTCCACTAAAAGGAAGCCAGGAGTCCCCATAACACACGATTATTTGCATACAGAAATCTCAGGCGAGATTTGATGGAGGTTGGACCTGTCAGTCACTATTAAATGTGATGTCTGGATGCAGCTGCTGGCTCTGAGGCATTTTAAGACTTGGGGCCAGAAACTGGAAGGCTCTAGCAGAAAAATGGTCACTCTGTGCTTTGATACCAGCTCCCTAAGGCTGTTGCACGCTGCTAAATGCAGAGCGTGGTGCTGGAAGCACCTTCAGCCTGTCGTGATGTGAATGTCCTTATACTCGCTGCAACCCAAAGGTTTTTTCTGAAGAGGCAGTGGGAAGGTGTGTGTCTCCTTATGCCCCCCTGGGGATAACCTGGTGCCCTGTGGGAGCTCCTGGCCCCGATCCAGGTCGTGGCACCTTGCCACTGCTGCTTAATGTTTCACTCTCCCGCAGGGTGTCCCGGAGAGCGAGAGGAGGAGTACGAAGGCAGAAAGCGCCTGGCTCTTCCGCATGTGGTACAACTTCGATCACAAGTATCCTTGAATGGTGGTTGGTGTGTGCCGTGCCAAATCCCATCTGCCGAAGCAACTCCGTTGACTCAGAATGTGATCTGCTTCCCGCTTAGCAGAGGAGCCAGCGAGTGCTTTCCCATCAGGGCTGATTTTTATTTACACCTCCTTGTCCCTGTGGCCGAGAGAAATGACCATTTCCACCCGCTGTTAACTGGGAATGGAGCAGTAGCTGAGTTCAAAGCTGGGGTCTCTGAGGGTGGAAGCTCAGGGGGTCCTTGATTCTTGTGGCAGGTGGGCAGGAAGGGCAGGAGGTCTCCTCATTTGTAGCCCTCTTGCTAGATCTGTGCCGCTCGTCCCTTGCAAATGCTTTGCCATGAATTGGTGGAGGAGCAATCTGCCAGGCTGAGAGGCATAGGATGAAGGGACAAGTGATGCTGCCAAGCCTTTTCTTACCGGCACTGTGTCCTGGTCCGTTTGGTTGCATTCACGCTGCTCATCCCTACAGTTCTTGTGCCTCCAGGGACTTGTGTTTCTTTACTTCCTGTGATTTCCTGAAGACACCGAGTCCTTCACCGCTGCCTCTGTATCCCACCCCTCGACTTACTGACATCACCCTATTCCCTGTTATTCCTTAACCCTCTCCGCAGCTATCTAAAGCCTCTGCTGACGCACAGTGGTCCTCCTCTGACAACCACGCTCCCGGGGTGCTGTGGGCCTGTTGCCCGGTGCCTGACGAGTCCTCAGGCATACGAAGTGAGTCCATCGGTGTCCTTTCTGTTGCGGTGTTGGTGGAGTTTGACGTGTTTACGTTTCTGTGTAGTTTTTGGATGCTGCTCTGCAGCATTGAGCTGGGAGCCTGGGGGGGAGGTCAGATACTGTGGCTGATGGATGAGCTAATTCCTGTGGGCATTTTGCTTTTCCAGCTGACTCTTTGGTCATGAAGGGACTCGTGGTGTATTCGTGGTGGTTCCTCAGTGACTGGCTCAATGAGGCTGTCACGAGGAAGCTGTCATGGGTGTCCTTCCCCAGGACAAATTTCATCATCCCCCGCTTTCTTCCAGCCTTGCAGCTGAGCCATTCCTGTAGCCCCTTCAGCTGCATCACTTGCAACCAAAAACGTTGCCAGCATCTGAACTGGGGCTGATTTTCTCCTGAAATGGTAAAGAGCCCATGTTTGAGCAGCCCAGAGGGGCAGGGAGATGACGAGCAGCTTTGGAGAGCCCGTAGGCAGTGACCTCTTTCACCATCACTGCAGAGCCTGCGTGCACCCGCACTCTTCGAGGAGCTGAGTTCGCTCGTCAGGTTTGGCCTCCCATGGCTCTGCAGGTGGCTGGTGCCGGCACGGCTCTGCGGCAGGGCCGCAGCACTTGGGGCATTGCCATGGCCAGGAGCCCCTTGCAGTGGCAGCTCTCCGTGGCAGGAGTTTTCTTGCCCTTCCTGCAAAGTATCAGCGTTGAGTTCCCTGCACAAAACAGAGATGGCTCTGGTGGGTCAGCGATGCAATTCCTGTGGTCATGGGTATTTTAGTCCGGTCAAAGCCACTCAAAACTGCATTCCTCATGTACCTGGTTTATGGCATCAGAAGGAAGAGCTGAGAGCGCCCTTTTAGGCAGAAGTTAGGGTGTTGTGCGAGTCTCTTGGGCTCAGAGATGCCTGTGTGGCACATCTGGTTATGGTCATGGTGCAGGGGAGTCCGTGGGTCCATGCCTCTATCTGCTCATTCACTGCCACCGTGCGATTTCAAGCATAGCTATTCAGGAAGAGTTAAACAGAGCTTTCCTCCTGTTTGTTGCCCAGAATCAAGAGCAGCTGAAGGACGATGACTCTGACCTCATTTTGAACGATGGGGACATCAGTCTGACCTACGGGGATTCCACCGTCAACACCGACTCAGTCGCATCCAGCGGCACGTCGCGGCGGTTCGTGGGAAACAGCTCTGAAGACGCGCTCGATCGGGAGCTTGCTTTTGGGGACCATGAACTTGTAATCCGGGGAACGCGCCTGGTCCTTCCCATGGACGATTCGGAGCCACCATCAAACGTCCTGGATAACGCAAGACATGGTCCAGCATAAGGTTGCTCGGTTTAATTGACAGTAATATTTGCATATATGATCAAGAAATATGTACTACCTAAAGTCTAATGCATGTCTCGAAATGTCTAAGCTGTATAAATATTATTTATATGGTGTCAGAAGAATATAAATATTCTCTGCCAAGCACTTGTAAAGAACAAGCTGCGAATTTAAGTTAAAAACTGTGTTGACTGCACTGTGTAGGGTGGAACTGTTTTAGCGTAAGAGTCTTTTGCACACAGTGAGCTTCTTTAATGTGTGATTTGACAAGGGTTTAGTTCCCAGCGGGGTAAGTAAAGGAGCTGACTCCCTGTTCATCCTTTGAGCCTGGGAGAGGAGGGTGGCGAGGTGCTGGCGAGCAGTGGAAATCGCTTTGTATTCAGATGAGGATTGTTTGGTTTTTTGGGGTTTTTTTTGTCTCCGATCTTTGGATAGTCACAGTTGAAATATCAGCAAAAAATCTGCCCACAGACCCTCTTGCCGGGCAGTGGCTGGTGATAAACTTGTTGGCTTTGTGGGAACCCGAGCTGGGACCTGGAGACTTTCTGCTTTTTAGTGACGCTCTGCCCAAGCCTTGCTATAGCGGGCTAACGGCAGGCACCGGCCACGGCTGATAGCAAGGACTGCGGGCGTCTGGCTGCTCGGGTCGGGGCAGGAGGGAGGGCTGGTTTCTGTCCGTAGTCTAGTTTAGGAGAAGGAGGTGATCCCACAGAAACTACACCAGGCATGCATGGATTTTAGGGCTGAGCCCATCTTTCAGTGGTGGCTCAAGCAGCTTTCTAGAACCAGCCATCAAATTCTCAATTGGCAATGAATTTTCACTAAATTTGGGAAGCGAGCGTGTCTTTGTGCGAGCGAATCCCTTCTCCTGCAGTTATGGGCATAGCTGAGATGTGCAGAGCTCCCGCAGTTGCACGCGGGGCCGCGGAGTCTGGCCAACCTCGGACACAAGTTTTACGGCTGCAGATTGACACGGTACCTCCGGACCTCTCCAGAGGTATTGAGCATCTAGGTGGTACTGAAGGGGAGTTGTCCGTCCGTCCTGTATAGTCAAACATCGTTGCACTTTGTTTAATAACTCCTTAGCATGTTGTGTGTCTGTAATCCCCGCCTGATCTCTCTCGTGTCTCTTACCATTTAATGAGAAATGTTTGCGAGTTGATTTTGTTTGTTTTTTAATTTTTATTTTCCAAGGAAGAGCACAGAACAATTTGCGATTTCACACTAGTGTTAAAGGATTTACTCTGTAGTTATGGGAATGGCTAAAGGTGCAGTGAAATTGTTAACCCTGCCATCCTTCTTTTTCTCCTGAAAAGGGGGAATCACAGAAATTTACTGTATGTAATTTTGTCTATTTTAGCTGCAGTTTTGCTGTACAAACCTTTCAGGGTTACCGGTGCACTACAGGCCCGTTCTGGAGTTAACCCTCTTCAGAGGGCTTAAACAGAGGTGTTTCAAAAGAGAATATAAGAAAAAGAGCTGGGCGAGTCCAAGCATTCGCAGCTTCCATTGGCTTTCCTTGGAACGAACTCTGCATCTCCCAGGATCCGACCCTGAGACCTCAGAGCAGTTTCCCCACGGCTGTTTTCCCCAGCACCACCTGAGAGTTGGAGGAGACAGGGAAATACTGAAATTTTTAGCATATATGTATAGTTGAGAAAATAAATTTAAACTTTTTTTTTTTTTTTTCATTTTCTCAGGTCTAAGTAACATTGCCTTAAATATATGGATGTGAGACTAATTATTTTGGCATTTTATCCCCACGAAAATGCTTTCTTTTTCCTTCTGAACAAAATGTTTAAGTGTTGCCATAGGACTCCTCTAGAAGGGGGGTAACGCTCTGTTTATATTTAGACAGGACATCTTCCTTGCACCGGTAAATGGCAGTCTTGCTGTTGATGTAGCTGTTGGATTAGCGCTAGCCTCTTTGTTTCCTGCTATGCAGGAATTCCATAAAGCGTGCATTTTATATGATGTCTGTAACTTAACTTCGTGTGTTTAAAAAAAAACAAACAAACAAAGAAGGAAAAACAAAAAAAAAAGTAGGTACCTGTTGACTTTAGGTTTACTGCATCACTTCTACATCCTGTTTTTTGTTTGTTTTGCCTGTCTGAAGAGGTATGATAAATAACTACCTCTTGTTTTTTCCTGTATAATCTGACTATGAGTTCAATTTACAAAGCTGGCGTTGGTGCAGCCGGAGGTGCAGAATGGTTCTGCTCCCCCCGAAAGCCTGCGGTCCCATCACCAGGCCCCTGGCACCGGTGCAGCGTAAGGGCGGCACAGGGCTCCCTCCCGGGCAATCCCTGGCTGAGGCGCAATTTTGCGGCCAAGCGCTGTGAGGTGGCCACAGCCTGATGTTTTACCGTAGCCTTGGTGGCGTTTCTCTCTTTCTCTGACCCTTTGACTTCAGTGGTTTATCCACTCTCTTTAAGCTTGCCAACACGTTACCATAAGCCTCAGCTTTTGACGCCAGTGACAGTTTGGTTAGCGCCTTAAAGAAAAAAAAAGTTAACAAATGATGATTTTCTGGGTTACCTGTGAACTCTTATGATCCATACATAATATAACCAGGACCGTTTTGAATAGTCTTGGTGACTGAATGAATCTAAGCTGAAATTCAGGAGTGATTTAATAAATGACTCGGATTCATCCCCAGCTGATTACTTTCTTTGTCCTGCTGCAGCGGAGAATACACGCGTGCCTGGTTTTCAGATGCAGACCCTGATGGCTTGCGTGCTGCAGATGAAGTTAAGGGTACCGTGGAGAATCAGGCCCCGAGACCTTTTGCCAAATAGAAAAGGCAGCCCCGAGGAGGCAGTTTACAGCTCCCACAGAGATTTAGTGAAGGTGCCCTTCTTCTGTAAATTGAATTTTCATGGTTTTTGCACACGAAAAAGCATTGTAGGTAAAGTTATGATTTGTACTAGTACTGTCGATTTGTGTGGTAATGGCATTAACTCCGTAGTTGTGGTGTTTGTGCAGCTGATCTGTGATAGCCGATGATCACTATTGGACCTTCTGTTTACACTGACTAAATCCTTTACTGTTGCGTTGTACTGTGAAAGAAGGATTATGGGCCTATAAAAGATTTTTTTTTTTTTCTTTTTTTTTTCCTGGAATTGTGTGTACCGTTTCATTAATTCACACGGAAATAAATCTGTAGCAAAATGATGACGTGCCACTTGACCTTCTCAGACTAGTTTGTTCATGGCCTTTGGCTGGCGGGCAAGGCAGCAGCCATGGATGTGATGCTGAACCCCGTGGGCTGGAGGGGCCATCCTCCCTTGCAGGAGCAGGTGCTGGGGACTGGAGAGATGCTGATGTCTGCTAAAAGCCGCTGCAGCTCCCGGGCTCCTCCATGGACAGCAAAACCCAGCTGGCGTAGCTCGGCCCACTCACACATGTCCTGGGGCGGTGGGTGGACCTGCGCAAGAGGCATCACTACGGGGTGTTTGCAAAATTGAGGCTCCTGAGCTTTCGTGGGCTTTTATGTCCCATATTTTTGTTGAATTTGCAGTTGGGCTCATGGCAGCTGCTCTGCCGTCCTTCAGAAGCGATTCTGCCCGCCATCTCCCATCTGTACCCTTTTTTTGGTGCTATGTGCTGTCAGAGCAGCTGAAGAGGTTTGTTGTTCAAATGTTTTACAATCCTTCAATACAGAGGGCATCTCAGAAACTTCAGGAATCTGGTTTTGAGAGTTTTGATTTGCAAAGGACAACCTTCACCTTTCAAACGGTTTAAAAATACATCCTTCGTAGCTCTGTATCACTGCGAGAGGATAGCCCCTGAAACCCAGTTCAACACACTTGTCTTCCATCCATAGCGTTGGCCAGCTAAGGGGATGTCTGTTCTGCTTTCTGAAGGTACTGCGGTCCTCGCATGGGGCGGCAAGGCCTGAGCTGTCATGCTGGGCTTTGCCAAAGCTTTGGCTGCAGCTCACAAAAGCACGGTGTGTCTGCAAGCGAGATGGGCTTGTCCAGCATCATGCTGGTCGTGGGTGGCCTGTGCTACTGCAAGTCACAGGAGTGGGACAGGAGACAACGGTGTTGATTTTCTTACTATGAAATGATGCTAATTCCACCATGCACTCTTGCATCTCAAAATCCTGACAATCAGACTAAACACCGCTAATCCTGCTGGGTGCACACCATCCAGCCCAGCTCGGGTCGTATGCGGGCATGTAACTAAACCAAACAAGGATGTAGTTTAGCAATTGAACAAGTGCCTTTCGGCAGCTCTTTACCCTCATAAACCCTGAAAAGAAGTGCAGCACACCCCTTACAAATGAGTTGTTTTGTTGAAATGTGGTATGATTCAGGCCCTGGGGCTCACCATGGGTGAGGGCTATCTCCGGTGCCCAAAATATAGCCAGGTCCAGCCGGTGTACGTCCACCTTTCCCAATGCTTGCAGCTGCAGGCAGGCATCGGCATCCTCTGGGACAGGTTTGCTGTGTCATGAACTGGCATGTCATTTCAGCCATGCAAAAAGATTTTGGGTAGCTGCTCTTCAGAGGCATGGAAAGAAGGGACGAGGCAGATCTCTGCATGTCTGGGGAGGGGGACTTGCACCGCAGGTGGGCACGTAGAGCCACCGCTTGCTGAATAGCCCCCATGTTATTAGTTCAGTTCAGTTTGAGCTGATGAGGGACAGCTTTCAGTCAAGCTATCGTACCACCTGGGCATGTTCATGCGGGGATCAGTAAAATGCAGGGAAATGGGCCAACGCCAGGTATCTACAGCCTCAAAAAAATCACAGGGCTGTTTTTAGAGCAATCCTGTATTCTCATGCCCAAGGCACAGACAGTCTTGGCTCTCTGTCTCCATGTCATGCTGGGGAAGCCTTCATGTGAGGCAAAATTAAAAAAAAAAAAAAAGGCAAGCTTTTAATTCTTCTTCCTTATCTCATCATGGCCTGCAAGGATCTCTTGTCCTTGCTGGGTCCTCTAGATGGCAATATTGGAAAGGACAGTAATTGTCCATCACCGCCCTGTCCCTGCAGGTCCAGGCAGTGCAGAGGCTGCCAGCCCACCCCTGCTCCAGGGACCCTCTCCACCCCCTGCCGTGTTCGCCATGCCTTACACACCATCCAGCTCCAGTCTTTATCTGCAGAAAGGAGAAGAGACTCCACTGCAACACAGACTGCTCTTACACCCTGAGCCCCTTTGCAGAAGCCACCACCACCTCAAAGGAGGTGCTTGGCTTAGCAATGGCCTCGCTGCTGAAGCCTGGATCTGGCTGTCTCAGTGGGGAACCTGTGGGTAGGCATCAACACCCAGGAGTCTGGAGGCGCCTGAGGTGACCTTGTGCTCAGCGACTGTCTACCCTGCATCTTGCTTTCCTCTTTAAGGCCAGCTGCTCGTTGATTTTTTTTTCCCCCTCAGTTAGGCTTTTAGAATCAGGAGTTTAATGCTACTGGTCACAAGCTGGTTAGCAGGACTGATTTTAGCCCCTCAGAGATAAGATGCAGCCCTTGCTCGAGCTGCTGACAAATATCAGAGGCTCCCCAGCTCTCACAGGTAGGACATCACCTGGGCTTTAAGCCATTCCTAGCACTAGAAGTTGCTGTCATCTGCAGCCGATGTGTGATCATGATGGCTGTTTGCGCTGTTGCAAGAGGACTTGTCTCCCTGCTTGGCTTCTGCTCATCACAGCTCCAAAACAGTGTTTGTCACCAGATGTGGGGAGTATTCTGGAGGAAATATCTTGTCGAGGTTAAGAGAGGAGGTGGGGGTGGAAGTGCCTCTGGGATGCCAGTGGGCCCAAATGTATTCTTAAAATACTAAATTGCAAAAAAATCTTTTGGCCACATGTGTCTGTGATTGGAGAATAATTGGAAGATGAGGCAAGTAGAAGGGAAATGAAGAAATGGTGTCCTTGCTGAGAGTCTTAACAAAATCTGCCAAGCCGATGAGAGAACCCAGAGGCTGTGGGAGTATTTGTGTCCTCCCTGTGTCCTGTGCAAGCACAGCAGCGCTGCCCAGCACGAGCACCACACGTGCCCGCTGCTTTCCATCTCCTCTGCTCTCTGCTGAGCTGGGGGTGATGGAGGTGTCAATATAAAGGCATTTGCAACTCACCTGATGCCTTCAGCCATGTTAACATCAGCAGCTGCTTTGGTGGCAGGAGCAGCCCTGGGGACAGCCTGGCTGCTGGTGCCCTGATCTCTCTACTGTTAGAATTCGGCTTAGGGGAGAGCAGCACAGCAATGCAGTGGGTCTGATGACCCTGAAGGCTCCTGGCCCTCGAACAGGCCCAGTAACAAGCAAGGCAAAGTCTCAGGGGGTTGGCTCCTGCAGAGGTGAGGTGTCAAGGGGTGAGGCTGGAGAGCCCAAAGCTGGGGAAAGCAGAATTCAAGCCTGTCACTGCTCGGCATTGCAAGATGGTACCAAAGGTGTGCAAAGATCTGCTCTCAGAATGGAGTTTGGGAACCAGGGGCTCTGGAGCATGTTACTTTGGGACATGCAGCCCTCGCACAGGCCATCTTGGTGCTTTTCCTTACTCCTGTGCTTACAGTCCATGCTGGGCACTTCGAGCCCGGGTCGGAGGCTACAAGATCCCTTAATGACTGCAAGAGACTCTGTAAGGTTCAGGACTCTAGGGTAGCAGAGCCTTGATTTTGTTGGCCAATATTTAGACATGCGTATATACAGAAGGATTTGCTCTTTATTAATTGGCCTTTCATAGGAAATTCCACCAGCTGTCCTCCTCCGAGGGGTGCCAGCGACGCTCCAGCCCCAAGGAGTCCATATATGGTTGCAATCTCCTAACCCTGCGTGTTTCGCAGAATAGTGTGGTCATAGCTACTTTTAAGGATACGTGTGAACATTGCTCCCTTTCCTGCACGCATAAGTTCCCAGGAATGCAGACAAAGATAAAAAGTGTATAAATTAAAGCTGTCAGCTTTATGCAGCATGTCAGCTCTTCTACCTGCAGCAGCAAGGTTACTTATTCAAGCCTACCCACATGGGCGCTGCGCTGAGCTGGGAAGGCACCACGGTGCAAAAGATGCTTTGTGAATAGGAAAATACCAACCGACCGAGCACCAAAGCATTTTGCAATGTAAATGTGCATAGGCTGAGACAGCAGCAGAAATATCTTCCCTTGCCCTTCTTCCTCCTATAAGCAATGTTGAACAGCCAAGAGATGCAGGTACCCGGCAGCTACCCCTGAGCCCTTTTTGTTTGTAAGGGTCTTCTGTATCATGAATTCTGCCTGATCCTTCTGCCAGGGGCGTCTTCCTGCTCCTCCTCCTCCCTGCTTCTGTGGTTTGGTGTCCACAGTCCACAGCTAGCTCCTGCTCCGTTCATTCTCCAAATGCAGCAAGAGAAGCTACTGTCCCCTTCAGCGTTGGTAGCAGTAAATGTCCTGCAACTCACTGACCTCCTCCTCTCCCCCATGCTAGCTGCAGCCCCTTTGCCTGACTTAGGATGGGATAATCACAGAAAATCAGAGGGAGGGGGCAATGTTCTGCACCTACATCCCACCGACAGCATCTCCCTTGCCCCTCCTGCAGCACTGGCCTGTACCAAAATGCACTTTTTCTGCTTAGCAGCTCCACGGGCATAACCCTAAAGACAGCTAAGGTCAGTACATCTCCCCCATCCCCGCAGCATCCTCATTCTCTGCAGTGCCCTGAAGTATCTCCTCTTCTCCCTTCGATGATGGAAGGCTAAATCTCTTCTTCTGTGATATGGCTCGCTCCTAAAACTCCCCGAGATACAAGAGGAAGGGGAACGACAGATGCAGCATTGCTTGCTTTTCCCTTTTCCCAGGCAGTTAATATTAATCACTGGTGCTTTTGGATCCATTGTGTGAATTCTCCCAACCTCTGAAGCTTTTGAGGTCTGTAATAAGAGAGAATTAGAAATG